TCAAACCCTACGTTGCATTACTTTTCGTACTTTTGCGGAGCTTTCACAAAAAAGGCTTGTATGATATCTTCATTGTAGAAAGCATTATGGAAACATTCTTTGAATGTTTTTCTATCTCTTAATTTCTTTATCTGGCTTGTACAGAAGAGTAATAGAGGCTTGTACCTGTAGGATCTGCACAAGAAAATAGATTAGAGCATGCACCCAAAGATAGCCTTTTTGTATAGTATTTATTATTTTCAATATTGATGAATGATAAGTCATACCACTTGTTTAAAACACCTTAGCTTTTGTCAACTCATTTAAGGATACATCATTTAAGTTTATGATATTGAGAATGTATCGTTTACCTAAAACCATCGTTGAGGTTCAGAGCATAACGAGTATCGTTTTTGTTTGCACCATTTAAGGAACATTGTTTAGATATAAAGCTTATGAAAGCATTGTTTATGAAAAAGCTCGTTTAGATGTCTGTTCATGAAAAGATACTGTTTAGAATGGATCATCGTTAGATTTCAGAACATCGTTTATCTTCCAGAGTATAAAAGGTATTGTTGAGCATTAGATTGTTTACAAGGCGTACATTGTTTAGAAGAAAGTGTGTTTAGATAGTCAACAACAGACTTAAAATTTACGTCTGCCAAATCTAAGTATGTCGTAAAACAGACTTAAAAAGCCCAAAATAACAGACTTAAAAAGTTTGTTTTGTACTAGGTTTTAGTCATAGCGTGTTTAAAAAATTGTTTCATTAAACGGTTGTTCTAGTAAACTCGTTTATGTATATGTAACATCGTTTAGCGACTTTGTCCAAACAAACGTTGTTTTCTGAAAACATTTACTTAGATAATATATTTTGTTTAAACGATGCATGTTCAAAGTTGTTTATGAAAATGTTCCTTTAGACGATCTACTTGAAAGTAATAAATTCAAGGCGCTATTTCTTCAAACAATATAGAGAGAAAACAATGTTTTCTTAAAAAGTTTTTAATAGACAATAGATTTATTTAATCCACACATTTCGTTTAACGTTGTACGTTAATTTTTAAAACTAGTGTGGTTAGACAGTCTTATTACATTAGATCAACTTTGTATGTTAATTTTTAAAACAAGTTTTTTTAGACGGTCTTATTACATTAGATGATCTTGTTTCAATAATCTTTTAGACGTTTTTTTAAATGATATTTCATTTTTAATGTTATTCATTAAATTTCAAAACTTGAATTGTTAAATAATTTAGTTTTTCTAAACTATCTTGTCTTAACATATTTTATTTTAAAAAAATATAGAAGGGACATTATTAAATATTTTAAAAAAATATAGAACAAACACATTAAGTCAAAATTAAATAAATAAAGGAAAAGCATTACATAGTTTGCTATAAATATAAGAATAAAAAAAATGTTATAAACCTAGGTATAACTACCACATTTTTCATATCCTGTTCAATATTAATTTCTTCACCAAAAGTTCCTTGGTGATGGTATTGACCTAAGTCCTTTGTCTGTACTTGGAGGGGACCTAGAAAACCTTCCACGACGATTTAGCTTTAATCTGATGGCAGGAAGCTTGCGTGCCACGGCCTGCCAAATCATTTGGACAGCATCATTTTCCTTAGAAGGGAAGTGAAATTCAAAGAAATGTTCAATCTCTTTCAACATGTTCCACATTCGGGTCCACTCTTCTCTGCTAATACCCCGGATGAAGTTTATAAGAAAATTTTCTTTGATGGCATCAACAGTACGGACAAATATGCAGAACTCAGAGTAGTCAATCACATCTTCATATGGCAGCTCAATTGCATCACTGATGATGACAGGGACACAGTGACTTGCAATGGCATCAAACAAACGGTTTGATGAAGGGGTGTCACCAGCTATGTTAAGGCAGAACTTGGAAGCACGCATCCCTTCTGTTGCTTTCTTAATTCCATCTTTCTGAATACTCCCAAAGGAAAAATGCACATCCTTTTCATTTTTCAGAAGATAGAATAACTCTTGTCGTGCTAAACCTCCCTGATCATAAGGAGAAGATATTCAAGATAGCTAGAATTAATCTCGAAGCATAATATACTTANTTTTGCAATCCATCAAAAGTAGCTCAATCATTTGCATCCAATCCATCCAAAAATAGCTTTCTCATTTACATTTTTTTTTCCTTGTTTCAATTCAATTCAAATCCATTTTTTACTTTCAATAGACTAGTAGATAAAATTTATAAAATATGAAACTTTTTATATTATTTATTTTAAAAAATAAGCTTATAAAATTTTTAGTTGTAATTTAATTAAATAAAAATAAAGTTATTAAAAATTATATGCGGGTCGTAGGCTAACTCGCAAACTTATAGGTCAAACATTATATGGGATAGGTTAGAGAAATTAGTCCACACTTCTTATATGGAGCAGGCCAGTTCGACCCACTTTTTGTAAACTAGTACAAAACATACCAAAACGGGACAGACCAGCCTGTATCGGCATCCCTACATACATCCCACACACATGTTTGCATATTCTCATAAATTTGTCTCCCTATTTAATTTGTACCACAATATCACCCACCCAATTTTGGAGACTTACGAAAGGAGACACTACATCAACTTAATTTTGTCTAGTCTTGTTAACTTAGAGGAAATTGGCAACAAAAACCTAATAGTGAAACTAACCAAAAACATATTGAACAATAAAACTAGAAAACATTGTCAAGATGTCGTAAATATCATTGGATAGTACTTTTGGTTTTATAACAATAATTTAATATTTTTCCTCTATTTAATTTTTACTTAATGTAATAAAGAAAACTTTTAACCAACATTAATGTTGTTTAGAATATGATGGACTATGTCAGATAATACAATCATCCATTTATTTTGAAGCACAGGAAAAACACTAAAAGAGTGAGGGGTTGAATAGTGTTTTTAAAAGCTTTTCGCAAGACAACATCTAATGACTTTTGCAAGAGAGGTAAACATTCAAATGATGTTGTTAGACATTGGTGTTTACAAAAAACGTTTAGGAAAACAATTTATGAATAAAAGCAATAACACAAGGATTTTTATACTGGGTCATTCAACCTGAGCTACGTTCAGTTCTCCCTTAAGATCTCTTAAGGGGTTCCACTAATCTTATCAAAGATTACAGAAGTTTTACCTCTTCAAGTTTACAACGAGTATTCTCACCACTCCTGGTCTCATAGTCAATCTGACTAGTTCGAGTTTAACCATTCCTAGCATCAAGCCTAAACAATTATCTAGAACGTTTAACTCAACTAAGTTAAACAATAAGTTTTGAATTTTCTTCAGAATTTACAATTCAACCACAAAGGGTTTTTCTACAAGATACAAATTGGTAACTCTCAACAAGAGGATAATATTTAATACAAGATAATATGAGAACTTGTAACAATTTTATCTTAAAATAGAGTGTTAAATGATTGAAGCAAAGTTAGAGACAGAGTAACAATGTTATATTAGCAAGTTCTTCTTGTTTTCTCTTTAAGCGGTCTTCTATTTGTAGGCATACGAAAGAAAGATCTGTTAGACACATAAATTTGACTTTCTTGTAGACTTCATAGCCTTTTCAAGTAGGTTGTCAAACCCTACGTTGCATTACTTTTCGTACTTTTGCGGAGCTTTCACAAAAAAGGCTTGTATGATATCTTCATTGTAGAAAGCATTATGGAAACATTCTTTGAATGTTTTTCTATCTCTTAATTTCTTTATCTGGCTTGTACAGAAGAGTAATAGAGGCTTGTACCTGTAGGATCTGCACAAGAAAATAGATTAGAGCATGCACCCAAAGATAGCCTTTTTGTATAGTATTTATTATTTTCAATATTGATGAATGATAAGTCATACCACTTGTTTAAAACACCTTAGCTTTTGTCAACTCATTTAAGGATACATCATTTAAGTTTATGATATTGAGAATGTATCGTTTACCTAAAACCATCGTTGAGGTTCAGAGCATAACGAGTATCGTTTTTGTTTGCACCATTTAAGGAACATTGTTTAGATATAAAGCTTATGAAAGCATTGTTTATGAAAAAGCTCGTTTAGATGTCTGTTCATGAAAAGATACTGTTTAGAATGGATCATCGTTAGATTTCAGAACATCGTTTATCTTCCAGAGTATAAAAGGTATTGTTGAGCATTAGATTGTTTACAAGGCGTACATTGTTTAGAAGAAAGTGTGTTTAGATAGTCAACAACAGACTTAAAATTTACGTCTGCCAAATCTAAGTATGTCGTAAAACAGACTTAAAAAGCCCAAAATAACAGACTTAAAAAGTTTGTTTTGTACTAGGTTTTAGTCATAGCGTGTTTAAAAAATTGTTTCATTAAACGGTTGTTCTAGTAAACTCGTTTATGTATATGTAACATCGTTTAGCGACTTTGTCCAAACAAACGTTGTTTTCTGAAAACATTTACTTAGATAATATATTTTGTTTAAACGATGCATGTTCAAAGTTGTTTATGAAAATGTTCCTTTAGACGATCTACTTGAAAGTAATAAATTCAAGGCGCTATTTCTTCAAACAATATAGAGAGAAAACAATGTTTTCTTAAAAAGTTTTTAATAGACAATAGATTTATTTAATCCACACATTTCGTTTAACGTTGTACGTTAATTTTTAAAACTAGTGTGGTTAGACAGTCTTATTACATTAGATCAACTTTGTATGTTAATTTTTAAAACAAGTTTTTTTAGACGGTCTTATTACATTAGATGATCTTGTTTCAATAATCTTTTAGACGTTTTTTTAAATGATATTTCATTTTTAATGTTATTCATTAAATTTCAAAACTTGAATTGTTAAATAATTTAGTTTTTCTAAACTATCTTGTCTTAACATATTTTATTTTAAAAAAATATAGAAGGGACATTATTAAATATTTTAAAAAAATATAGAACAAACACATTAAGTCAAAATTAAATAAATAAAGGAAAAGCATTACATAGTTTGCTATAAATATAAGAATAAAAAAAATGTTATAAACCTAGGTATAACTACCACATTTTTCATATCCTGTTCAATATTAATTTCTTCACCAAAAGTTCCTTGGTGATGGTATTGACCTAAGTCCTTTGTCTGTACTTGGAGGGGACCTAGAAAACCTTCCACGACGATTTAGCTTTAATCTGATGGCAGGAAGCTTGCGTGCCACGGCCTGCCAAATCATTTGGACAGCATCATTTTCCTTAGAAGGGAAGTGAAATTCAAAGAAATGTTCAATCTCTTTCAACATGTTCCACATTCGGGTCCACTCTTCTCTGCTAATACCCCGGATGAAGTTTATAAGAAAATTTTCTTTGATGGCATCAACAGTACGGACAAATATGCAGAACTCAGAGTAGTCAATCACATCTTCATATGGCAGCTCAATTGCATCACTGATGATGACAGGGACACAGTGACTTGCAATGGCATCAAACAAACGGTTTGATGAAGGGGTGTCACCAGCTATGTTAAGGCAGAACTTGGAAGCACGCATCCCTTCTGTTGCTTTCTTAATTCCATCTTTCTGAATACTCCCAAAGGAAAAATGCACATCCTTTTCATTTTTCAGAAGATAGAATAACTCTTGTCGTGCTAAACCTCCCTGATCATAAGGAGAAGATATTCAAGATAGCTAGAATTAATCTCGAAGCATAATATACTTATAATGCAATAGCAAGACAAGGAAATAATGGTGAATTAGCAAAATGTTGATCTTCTTTTATCAGACATGGTTATAAAAGTGATGTTCATTCCATATAAGGAACTCTGTCTGCATGGGATTCTATATATTTTTATTATATTAGGAGATACCGATCCCTTTTTTCACTTTGAGGATAATGGGGGAAGGGTCAAATCTCAAGACAAACAAGTCTAGGTGCGAAACAAGCATGAAAATCATCAACATTTTCTTGAGTTCAAGCATAAATGCACAGTAGCTTGTGTCAACAAGTCCAAATTTGTAGCTTATTGTTTTGCTATTGTCCTTCTACTTAGCCTTCAAAATACATCAATGTTAATATATTAAAAAATTAAATATATTTTATAACATTGAAATTAGTGTATATTAGTGTGTCAATTGTTGCCTAAAAAAAATACCATCTTTAAAACATTAGCTTCTTCCATTTTCTGCCTCCTAAATTACATTGATTTTCTATTTACAAAAGAGGGATTCCATTATCCCCCTTGAACATTGTTTAGCCATAATTGAAAAACAAAGTGTTTTCTAACTTACATGAATTATTGATGTCAATGCAAAACTATCTTCTCTGAAAAGCAAAAAAAGGCTAGAGCAACTAATATATTAAAGAGCAAGAAGGCCATACATCTTTTCTATATATTGCTCCTTGGAAGTACAATAATGTTGAACGACTATCAAATGTGGACTTGTCATTTAAATAGGAAGGGATTAAATGTTTATAAGGTGCTATCACATCCTTTTCAACATTGGCTACTTTTGGAGGATATCTCCCAAAGTCTGAAAGAATGAATGTAGCAGGCCACAACTTCATTCTTGCTTCTAACATACTGTTGGGATGGTGTGCTAAAATCAAATGGTCCTTTCCTCCTGATCTTTTCCATTGCTCTTGAGTTGTCAAATGTTTCACTAANATTGCATAACTTGTAGTCCATGTTGACCAACTGGCTAATCTGGATAGACTTAAATTCCGAAAATTCAACAATATCCAAAGAACATGTTGTACATGTTTTTTTAAGCAACTTGCTAATTTACGTTTCTTTTGCAATCCATCAAAAGTAGCTCAATCATTTGCATCCAATCCATCCAAAAATAGCTTTCTCATTTACATTTTTTTTTCCTTGTTTCAATTCAATTCAAATCCATTTTTTACTTTCAATAGACTAGTAGATAAAATTTATAAAATATGAAACTTTTTATATTATTTATTTTAAAAAATAAGCTTATAAAATTTTTAGTTGTAATTTAATTAAATAAAAATAAAGTTATTAAAAATTATATGCGGGTCGTAGGCTAACTCGCAAACTTATAGGTCAAACATTATATGGGATAGGTTAGAGAAATTAGTCCACACTTCTTATATGGAGCAGGCCAGTTCGACCCACTTTTTGTAAACTAGTACAAAACATACCAAAACGGGACAGACCAGCCTGTATCGGCATCCCTACATACATCCCACACACATGTTTGCATATTCTCATAAATTTGTCTCCCTATTTAATTTGTACCACAATATCACCCACCCAATTTTGGAGACTTACGAAAGGAGACACTACATCAACTTAATTTTGTCTAGTCTTGTTAACTTAGAGGAAATTGGCAACAAAAACCTAATAGTGAAACTAACCAAAAACATATTGAACAATAAAACTAGAAAACATTGTCAAGATGTCGTAAATATCATTGGATAGTACTTTTGGTTTTATAACAATAATTTAATATTTTTCCTCTATTTAATTTTTACTTAATGTAATAAAGAAAACTTTTAACCAACATTAATGTTGTTTAGAATATGATGGACTATGTCAGATAATACAATCATCCATTTATTTTGAAGCACAGGAAAAACACTAAAAGAGTGAGGGGTTGAATAGTGTTTTTAAAAGCTTTTCGCAAGACAACATCTAATGACTTTTGCAAGAGAGGTAAACATTCAAATGATGTTGTTAGACATTGGTGTTTACAAAAAACGTTTAGGAAAACAATTTATGAATAAAAGCAATAACACAAGGATTTTTATACTGGGTCATTCAACCTGAGCTACGTTCAGTTCTCCCTTAAGATCTCTTAAGGGGTTCCACTAATCTTATCAAAGATTACAGAAGTTTTACCTCTTCAAGTTTACAACGAGTATTCTCACCACTCCTGGTCTCATAGTCAATCTGACTAGTTCGAGTTTAACCATTCCTAGCATCAAGCCTAAACAATTATCTAGAACGTTTAACTCAACTAAGTTAAACAATAAGTTTTGAATTTTCTTCAGAATTTACAATTCAACCACAAAGGGTTTTTCTACAAGATACAAATTGGTAACTCTCAACAAGAGGATAATATTTAATACAAGATAATATGAGAACTTGTAACAATTTTATCTTAAAATAGAGTGTTAAATGATTGAAGCAAAGTTAGAGACAGAGTAACAATGTTATATTAGCAAGTTCTTCTTGTTTTCTCTTTAAGCGGTCTTCTATTTGTAGGCATACGAAAGAAAGATCTGTTAGACACATAAATTTGACTTTCTTGTAGACTTCATAGCCTTTTCAAGTAGGTTGTCAAACCCTACGTTGCATTACTTTTCGTACTTTTGCGGAGCTTTCACAAAAAAGGCTTGTATGATATCTTCATTGTAGAAAGCATTATGGAAACATTCTTTGAATGTTTTTCTATCTCTTAATTTCTTTATCTGGCTTGTACAGAAGAGTAATAGAGGCTTGTACCTGTAGGATCTGCACAAGAAAATAGATTAGAGCATGCACCCAAAGATAGCCTTTTTGTATAGTATTTATTATTTTCAATATTGATGAATGATAAGTCATACCACTTGTTTAAAACACCTTAGCTTTTGTCAACTCATTTAAGGATACATCATTTAAGTTTATGATATTGAGAATGTATCGTTTACCTAAAACCATCGTTGAGGTTCAGAGCATAACGAGTATCGTTTTTGTTTGCACCATTTAAGGAACATTGTTTAGATATAAAGCTTATGAAAGCATTGTTTATGAAAAAGCTCGTTTAGATGTCTGTTCATGAAAAGATACTGTTTAGAATGGATCATCGTTAGATTTCAGAACATCGTTTATCTTCCAGAGTATAAAAGGTATTGTTGAGCATTAGATTGTTTACAAGGCGTACATTGTTTAGAAGAAAGTGTGTTTAGATAGTCAACAACAGACTTAAAATTTACGTCTGCCAAATCTAAGTATGTCGTAAAACAGACTTAAAAAGCCCAAAATAACAGACTTAAAAAGTTTGTTTTGTACTAGGTTTTAGTCATAGCGTGTTTAAAAAATTGTTTCATTAAACGGTTGTTCTAGTAAACTCGTTTATGTATATGTAACATCGTTTAGCGACTTTGTCCAAACAAACGTTGTTTTCTGAAAACATTTACTTAGATAATATATTTTGTTTAAACGATGCATGTTCAAAGTTGTTTATGAAAATGTTCCTTTAGACGATCTACTTGAAAGTAATAAATTCAAGGCGCTATTTCTTCAAACAATATAGAGAGAAAACAATGTTTTCTTAAAAAGTTTTTAATAGACAATAGATTTATTTAATCCACACATTTCGTTTAACGTTGTACGTTAATTTTTAAAACTAGTGTGGTTAGACAGTCTTATTACATTAGATCAACTTTGTATGTTAATTTTTAAAACAAGTTTTTTTAGACGGTCTTATTACATTAGATGATCTTGTTTCAATAATCTTTTAGACGTTTTTTTAAATGATATTTCATTTTTAATGTTATTCATTAAATTTCAAAACTTGAATTGTTAAATAATTTAGTTTTTCTAAACTATCTTGTCTTAACATATTTTATTTTAAAAAAATATAGAAGGGACATTATTAAATATTTTAAAAAAATATAGAACAAACACATTAAGTCAAAATTAAATAAATAAAGGAAAAGCATTACATAGTTTGCTATAAATATAAGAATAAAAAAAATGTTATAAACCTAGGTATAACTACCACATTTTTCATATCCTGTTCAATATTAATTTCTTCACCAAAAGTTCCTTGGTGATGGTATTGACCTAAGTCCTTTGTCTGTACTTGGAGGGGACCTAGAAAACCTTCCACGACGATTTAGCTTTAATCTGATGGCAGGAAGCTTGCGTGCCACGGCCTGCCAAATCATTTGGACAGCATCATTTTCCTTAGAAGGGAAGTGAAATTCAAAGAAATGTTCAATCTCTTTCAACATGTTCCACATTCGGGTCCACTCTTCTCTGCTAATACCCCGGATGAAGTTTATAAGAAAATTTTCTTTGATGGCATCAACAGTACGGACAAATATGCAGAACTCAGAGTAGTCAATCACATCTTCATATGGCAACTCAATTGCATCACTGATGATGACAGGGACACAGTGACTTGCAATGGCATCAAACAAACGGTTTGATGAAGGGGTGTCACCAGCTATGTTAAGGCAGAACTTGGAAGCACGCATCCCTTCTGTTGCTTTCTTAATTCCATCTTTCTGAATACTCCCAAAGGAAAAATGCACATCCTTTTCATTTTTCAGAAGATAGAATAACTCTTGTCGTGCTAAACCTCCCTGATCATAAGGAGAAGATATTCAAGATAGCTAGAATTAATCTCGAAGCATAATATACTTATAATGCAATAGCAAGACAAGGAAATAATGGTGAATTAGCAAAATATTGATCTTCTTTTATCAGACATGGTTATAAAAGTGATGTTCATTCCATATAAGGAACTCTGTCTGCATGGGATTCTATATATTTTTATTATATTAGGAGATACAGATCCCTTTTATCACTTTGAGGATAATGGAGGAAGGGTCAAATCTCAAGACAAACAAGTCTAGGTGCGAAACAAGCATGAAAATCATCAACATTTTCTTAAGTTCAAGCATAAATGCACAGTAGCTTGTGTCAACAAGTCCAAATTTGTAGCTTATTATTTTGCTATTGTCCTTCTACTTAGCCTTCAAAATACATCAATGTTAATATATTAAAAAATTAAATATATTTTATAACATTGAAATTAGTGTATATTAGTGTGTCAATTGTTGCCTAAAAAAAATACCATCTTTAAAACATTAGCTTCTTCCATTTTCTGCCTCCTAAATTACATTGATTTTCTATTTA